AAAACTTAGAATGAAAAATTATTTATTCGTAGAAAAAATTATAAAAGATAAATGATAATTCTGACGAGTCTCTGTTAGAAAAATTCACATATAAAATATTAAAATCATAAATATCTAAAAAATCGATCAATCATGATTTTTTAAAAATTATAATAGTAATATAATTGATAATTTATAATGATTAATAAACTGAATAGAAACATAATATCTCTCGTTAACTCCTTCCGCGGCATTATCTAACTTCCTACTGGATCGATATAAGATTCTCGATATCAGTTATTTTCTCCTCAAGAAACTGCATCGCGTTTGGAGTTTTGCCGAGAAACCTCAGATAACAGTCGTATCTACGACGTAACTTCCGCCGAAAGTAGCTTTTACGATGACGTCCCTGGTAGTTCCGTGAGAAAAGAATTTAAGTGGGAAGTCATGTAACTTATAGCTAAGCTTGAGATTGGCAGCGCGAGGGAAACGACGAGTAAATGCTACAAGAAGACTCGAGATGGTCTGATTACGTAGACACCTGGCCGCGTAATAAATATATCATATTTTCCGAAAAGATATGTTGCATGACCAGTTGTGGAAATTAAGTTCAAGTACTCATAAACTTTGTGCAATTATACAGGATGTTTCTTAAATAATAGATACTAATTATAGCATTATTCCAATTAAAAATTGAGTCGAAAAATCTTGTACAATTTTGCAATTTTCGCAATGATTGATAACTATTAATTTCTAAAGATTGCCGAATAAGCGAATCATATAATGCTATTCCTGATAAAAAATTGAATCAAAAAATCCTCTATCATTTTGCAATTTTTGTGATAGTTAATGATTGGGCAGGCGGATACGCGCTTATTCAGCAATATTTAGACATTAATATTTCGTAAATCATTGCGAAAATGGTAGAGTTTTCTACTCAATTTTTAATTAGGAATAGCATTATATTATTAGTTTCGCAATTTAAGAAACACCCTGTATAACAAAAAGAAATTAATCACAAAATTTATTAATATTAAGTATAATTATAATTAAATGTAATTATGTGTATTTCATCGTTTTACTAGCAAGTTGCTGAAAATCAGAAAATTGTAATCGTGTCATTTCATTCCAACTTTTTTTGCACATTCTTTACGATTTTATTCTTGTGTCTGTTTTGTGTGTTTTTTTTTACAAGAAAAGCGATTGAGTTAATCTACATTTTGATTTGTTTGAGTTTAACTACCAACCGCAGTGAATATCGCCTTTCCTTCTGGAATACATATCTGCTCTCTATATCGCCGTGAGAAACAACGGGAAGTGAGTGATATATAGCACACATACATGTTTATATATAGATTGGATAATAACGTCGATGCAAGCGGAAATTGAAATCTTCCACCGTACTTGACGGCGAACCTCGAAAATTCAGTTTTCTGATCAAGTAAACCGCTTCATAAGATAAATCTCTGATAAAACCCGCTATTTTGTATGCACAGGCGTTTAACATCTTAATATCGAGTGTTCATTGAGAGTAATAGAATTATATCTGTAAGAATGAATTTTACAGTCTCACGTTTAAATAACATCATTTTATATATATGTACATATATTACATACACTTCTGACCAAAAGTTCGGGAACACATTTAAAAAATTGACATTTATGATTTCTTGCTCAAATATCCGTAACAATATGTATTTTTTTTTTAATAATAATTCTTTTCTCTCTCTCTCTCTAATAATTGTTATTGAATCTGAAGAATTATTGTTAAATGAACGTACTGTTATAAATATTGGAATAAATAAAATAGGTATTAATTTTTTAAATATATTTTCAAACTTTTGCCTGCAGAGTATATAAAGTAATTACAATATATGTACATTATATAATAAAATGGTAAATAGCCATAATCATTATATATTTTTGTTAGTCTTTTCACAATAATATTGGTATTATAAATTTATGCTTTATTCGCAGTTAAAATTGTTTAGTTATATAATTTATTACTGTTGTTTAATTATCCATTATTTCTAAAATATCGTGCATCTTATTATCATGCTTTATTATCCAAATAGAAGAAAGGCACGTGTTGCAAACAATAATTGCTATAGGATTACATTCTGATAAATTTCCAGAAATACGGAAAATCGTGAAACGAGCAGATAACAAGGGCTTTTGCCGCTTAATTTTAATCAGTCCAATTAACGGTGCGCGTTATCTGCTGCGAAGTTGCCAAAAACTCAAATTAAATGCGCATTGTACACGAGGAAGTTGAATTATGTTACTGCTGTATTTATTATGTTGCTTTTGTTGCATTTCCAGAAGAGTGCCTTCTCATTCGTGACCGGTAATTATTTCTCCGAATATTACCCATGCAAATTTTACAAAGAATAAACTGGCTATTGTGTGTGTATTTTCTAATTAATTTTATAATATGATGTCATTGGAGGTATACAGGGCGTCTCTGCATATAGTGCATAAACTGCTAGTAGCTTTAACACATGAAAACAAGTGAAAATATCTAATAAATATATGTTCTGAACAGTTTTGGAGTTGCGGGATATTGAAGTAAAAAAATATGAATTGTAGTAAATGTTATTTAATGTTCGTTATTCTATAATACTTTACAAAAGATATTCAAAAATTTCTTCGTCAACTTTCTACACTGAGAGAAATGAGAAATTTTGTTATAGGAATAAATCAAGGGAAAGCAAATGTAATAATAAAAATAAATAAAATGTAATAATGTTGAAAACCCAATCGATTTGTTACGATTGCAAATTAATTCGTCAATGTAACAAATAATCCATAGTATTGCTAGCAAAGAAGCTCAT